CTGGAGGATTGCTGGAAGTTGCAGTCCAGGAATAGAAAATTGGAAATATTGTGGGATTAGGATTCTCTCAAAGAAATCCAAGGAGAAGAAAGCTTGCAGCTCGGAAACAGTGCATTTGGATCATCCTCCTCTCCTAAAGGGCCTAGTCTAGGGGATGCTGGGAGCTGTTGTCCGGAAGAGTGTGGATATGCTATTGTGTGTTTTGTTTGCCAGGGAAGTTTTTTTGTGCATGCACTGTAGCATCTTTTTGCTTTTTTGTCTTTTTAAGTCCCTTCCACTGTGTTCTTCAGTATTATAATGAGTGATGGTCACTCGTTGGCCTGAGAGGTCTATTGTGTCCAAATTTTGTGTCAATTCGTCCAGTGGTTTTTGAGTTATATTAAACCCACAAACGAACATTAAATTTTTATTTATATAGATTATTGTTATTAATACCTCTGGCCTGGACACCCTGGTGGTGCAGTGGGCTAAACTGCTGAACTTGCTGACTGAAAGGTTGGTGGTTTGAATCCAGGAAGCGGGGTGAACTCCCGCTGTTAGGCCCAGCTTCTGCCAACCTAGCAGTTAGAAAACATGCAAATGTGAATAGATCAATAGATACCACTTCAGCGGAAAGGTAATGCAATTTTGAAGCTTCACTACATGAGATACTGATAAGGTTGTTTATGTAATCCAATGTTCCTGTGAGCTTCTATATGTAGGTAAGAAAGGTCCAAAACTAACAAAATGAAGTTCAACAGGGACAAATGCAAGATTTTCCACTTAGGCAAGAAAAACGAAATGCAAAAATACAGAATGGGGGAGGAATGGCTCAAGAGCAGTACATGTGAAAAAGATATTGGAGTCCTCGTGGACAACAAGTTAAACATGAGCCAGCAATGTGATGTGACGGCAAAAAAAGCCAATGGGATTTTGGTCTGCATCAAGAAGAGCATAGTGACTAGATCAAGGGAAGTCATACTACCCCTCTATTCCGCCTTGGTCAGACCAATTGGAATATTGTGTCCAATTCTGGGCACCACAATTGAAGAGAGATATTGACAAGCTGGAATGTGTCCAGAGGAGGGCGACTAAAATGATCAAGGGTCTGGAGAACAAGCCCTATGAGGAGCGGCTTAAGGAGCTGGGCATATTTAGCTGAAGAAGAGAAGGCTGAGAGGAGATATGATAGCCATGTATAAATATGTGAGAGGAAGTCACAGGGAGGAGGGAGCAAGCTTGTTTTCTGCTTCCCTGGAGACTAGGATGCACAACAATGGCTTCAAACTACAGGAAAGGATCTGCACATTAGGAAGAACTTCCTGACTGTGAGAACTGTTTAGCAGTGGAACTCTCTGCCTCGGAGTGTGATGGAGGTTCCTTCTTTGGAAGCTTTTAAACAGAGGCTGGATGGCCATCTGTCGGGGGTGCTTTGAATGCAATATTCCTGCTTCTTGGCAGAATGGGGTTGGACTGGATGGCCCAGAGGTCTCTTCCAAATCTAGGATTCTATGATTCTAAGGTAATGCAGTCAATGTAGTCATGGTGGCCACATGACCTTGAAGGGTTTTTTTGTGTTTTTTTGTTGTGTCAGGAGCAACTTGAGAAACTGCAAGTTGTTTCTGGTGTGAGAGAATTGGCCGTCTGCAAGGATGTTGCCCAGGGGATGCCCGGATGATTTGATGTTTTATCATCCTTGTGGGAGGCTTCTCTCATGTCCCCGCATGAGGAGCTGGAGCTGATAGAGGGAGCTCATCCGCCTCTCCCCGGATTCGAACCTTCTGACCTGTCGGTCTTCAGTCCTGACGGCACAGGGGTTTAACCCACTGCGCCACTGGGGGCTCCTTTCCTTGGAGGCGTCTATAGGCTACGCTGGCTCTTTGGCTTAGAAATGGAGATGAGCACCACCACTTGGAGTCAAACCTAGATCTAGGGAAGCTTCAAATGGTCCAGCGTTCGGCAACCAGGTTGCTAACAGGAGCGGCACTCAGGGAGCAAACTACTCCTCTGTTGCGCCAGCTCCACTGGCTGCCAGTTTGCTACCGGGCACAATTCAAAGTGCTGGCATTAGCCTATAAAGCCCTAAACGGTTTTGGCCCTAGTTACCTCTCCGAACGCATCTCCTCCTATGAACCGACTAGGACACTAAGATCATCTGGGGAGGCCCTGCTCTCTGTCCCGCCTGCATCACAGGCACGCTTGGCGGGGACGAGAGACAGGGCCTTCTCAGTGGTGGCCTCTCGGCTGTGGAACGCCCTGCCTGCAGATATCAGATCGGCCCCCTCCCTGCTGGCGTTTCGGAGGAAAGTGAAGATCTAGCTGTTCGAACAAGCATTTGATTAAACAGTGTAATTGAACATAGGAATATGGAATAATGGATGATGAGACTGGATTCTGATTTTACTGTTGAGGCGCTAATGATTGTTATACGGATGTTTAATGATTTATGGTACAACTGTTTTTAATTGCCCTACACTTGTCTCGTGATGTTTTGTATTGATGTTGTTCACCGCTTTGAGTTGCCTGAGGGCTGAGAAAAGCGGTATATAAATAAAGTAAATAAATAAATAAATTTTAAACAGAGGCTGGATGGCCATCTGTCGGGGGTGCTTTGAATGCAATATTCCTGCTTCTTGGCAGGGGATTGGACTGGATGGCCCACGAGGTCTCTTCCAACTTTATGATTCTAAGGTAATGCAGTCCATGCAGTCATGGTGGCCACATGACCTTGGAGGTGTCTACGGGCAACGCTGGCTCTTTGGCTTAGAAATGGAGATGAGCACCACCACTTGGAGTCAAACCAGACTAGACTTAATGTCTGGAAAGTCTGATCTGGCCACGGTGGTCCACGTTCTGGTTACATCCCGTATAGACTACTGCAACGCTCTCTACGTGGGGTTGCCTTTGAAGACTGCCCGGAAGCTACAACTAGTCCAACGAGCGGCAGCCAGACTACTAACAGGAGTGGGGTACAGGGAGCATACTACTCCTCTGTTACGTCAGCTCCACTGGCTGTCAATCAGTTTCCGAGCACAATTCAAAGTGCTGGTGTTGACCTATAAAGCCCTAAACGACTCCGGCCCAATTTACCTGTCAGAACAGATTCTCCCCTATGAACCATCAAGGTTATTAAGATCTTCTGGAGGGGCCCTGCTCTCGGTCCCACCACTCTCGCAATCACGTCTGGTGGGGGCGAGGGACAGGGCCTTCTCAGTGGTGGCCCTGGAACTCGGCTCTGGAACTCTCTCCCACTGGAGATTAGAACTGCCCCTTCTCTCCTAAGTTTTAGAAAGCTAGTGAAAACTTGGCTCTGGAATTTAGCATTCAATAACTCTTGACCACACGGACAGATGGTGATGAATTGTGATTTCTGATGACTGGTCTTATGTAATTATATGATTGTATTTTAATGTATTAGTGTATTATGTGATGTGATATTTTAAACTATTGTTTATGAATCTTTTGTTGTGAACCGGCCTGAGTCCCTCTGCGGAGGTTGAGAAGACCGAGTTATAAAAGTTCTAAATAAATAAATAAATGTCAAGGGTGGATGAGAGCTAACAAATTGAAATTGAATCCAGACAAGACAGAGGTCCTACTGGTCAGTCGTAAGGCCGAACAGGGCATAGGGTTAAAGCCTGTGTTAGACGGAGTTACACTTCCCCTGAAGATGCAGGTCCGCAGCTTGGGAGTGATCCTGGACTCATCGCTGAGCCTGGAACCCCAGGTCTCAGCGGTGGCCGGGAGAGCTTTCGCACAATTAAAACTTGTGCGCCAGCTGCGCCCGTACCTTGGGAAGTCGGATCTGGCCACGGTGGTCCACGCTCTTGTTACATCCCGAATAGATTACTGCAATGCGCTCTACGTGGGGTTGCCTTTGAAGACTGTTCGGAAACTTCAATTAGTCCAATGGGCGGCAGCCAGATTACTCACTGGAGCGTCATACAGGGAGCATACCACCCCCCTGCTATGTCAGCTCCACTGGCTGCCGATCCAGTTCCAAGCACAATTCAAAGTGCTGGTTTTGACCTACAAAACCCTTTACGGTTCCGGCCCAGTGTACCTGTCCGAACGTATCTCCTTCTACGTCCCACCTCGGAATTTAAAATCTGCTGAGGGGGCCCTGCTCTCGGCCCCACCTTTATCACAAGCGAGACTGGTGGGGACAAGGGACAGGGCCTTCTCGGTGGTGGCCCCTCGCCTGTGGAATGCACTCCCCAGGGAAATTAGGGCATCAACATCCCTCCTCTCCTTCAGGAAGAAGCTAAAAACCTGGATGTGGGACCAGGCCTTCGGGTAAGCTGGCAGATGGACAAAGACAACCAATAATGACCAGAGTAGGAAAGGACAATGACAATGCTAAATGGTTTACGGGCTTGGATTTGGTGAACACTGACCACAAGATGTTTTTATTGCTGCTAGTATACTGTCTGATTGTTTTAATTAGTTATAACTATGATATTATGTGGTAAATTTGTGTATTGTATATTGCATTGTATGTTGTAATTGTTAGGCATCTAATTGTGCCTTTTGTAAGCCGCCCTGAGTCCCCCCTAGGGGGTTGAGAAAAGCGGGGTAGAAGCACCCCAAATAAATAAATGAATAAGGGAAACCTATACCCTGACAATAAGGGAAACCTATACCCTGACAAAGGAGCCCCCGGTGGCGCAGTGGGTTAAAGCACTGAGCTGCTGAGCTTGTTGATCGAAAGGTCGCAGGTTCGATTCCAAGGAGCGGCGTGAGCTTCCGCTGTCAGCCCTAGCTTCTGCCAACCTAGCAGTTCGAAAACATGCAAATGTGAGTAGATAAATAGGTACCGCTCCGGCAGGAAGGTAACGGCGCTCCATGCAGTCATGCCAGCCACATGACCTTGGAGGTGTCTACGGACAACGCTGGCTCTTCGGCTTAGATGAGCACCACACCCCAGAGTCAGACATGACTGGACTTAATGTCAGGGGACTACCTTTACCTTTACTATACCCTGAGAAAGACCTCTGGGCCCGTCCTGACCTCTCTCTTACCTTGTGGCCCCGGTAGAAGGCTATCTCTTCCACGTTGGCGATGATGCGGGAGTGGACGTAGCGCAGGTAGCCCTTGCGCTGGGCCTCCTCAGCGACCAGCTTCCCGAAGCGGGGCGAGCAGGCCTTGAGGACCTTGGCGGTGGTGTAGACGACCAGCCCGGCCAGGAGGGTGGGCCCCACGGGGCTGGCCCCTCGGGAGCGGGCGGTCTGGATGAGGGTGTAGGAAGTGAGCACCACGTCCAGGATGGGCTTGGTGAGGTTGGAGTAGAGGTGGGCCACCGACTGGGAGAACATGGCGATGTCCTCGGTGAGGGACTGGTCCGGGTTGGCCAACCTCCCGTCCATGTTGATGACCTTGTAGTAGGTCTGGTCGGCGAAGTAGGTGCGGTAGGCGTGGGCGACGAGGCGGGTGCGGAAGGCCAGGGCCAGCTGTCCCTCCAGGTAGCGGATGGCGCTGTTGACGAAGGTGGCGGGGACGGCGATGGCCAGCCACTTGAGCAGCTGCCAGGCGAAGCGGCGGGGCTTCTTCTCCACGATGCTCTTGACGATCTTGCCGTCCAGGCCGGCCACGTAGATGGAGAGGAAGGTGCGCGAGACCAGGGCCACCGAGTGCAGGCCAAGCCAGCCGCTCTCCCGGCCCAGCAGCTGCGGGAACAGGATCTGGCGCAGCTCCAGAAGCTGGCGGAAGAACTCCGCGTTGGCCGCCGGGGAGCCGCGAGGGAGCGGCGGCGAGGACGAGGAGGAGGAGGAAGGCCGCAGCAAGAGCGACGACGCCTCAGGAAGGAGGAAAGCACCGCCCGCGTCTTCCTCCTGCGGAGGGAGAGGATGCTGAGGAAGCGGCGCCGCTCTTCTCCTCTTCCTGAGGCGCCAGAGCAGCCTCAGCCCGTACGCCGCTGCCGCCAAGCAAGCAGCCCGCCTCAGCGCCGCGCTGGACCGGCTCCATGTCTGCCTGGCGGGGGCCTCCCGCGCCGCGCTCATGGTGGCTTCCCTCACCCTCATCCACACCGCTTCTCCCTCAGCCCCGTTCCCGCTCTGCCGCCGCCATCGCCACCTCGCGCCATGCCCCGCGCGCCGCCACAATAATCTACCTCGCGCTCGCCCGCTTTCTCTCCCTCGCTCGCTCGCTATCTTCTCAAGCCCCGCCCTTCCCGCCCGCTCATTGGCTGCGTCGGGCCTTTGGGGGAACCTTCGCCTCGCGACGCCGCCGTTGCTAAATCCTCTTCTCCAAGGCAAACCTGCGCGATTGGAATGGATGCTGCTGCTGCTAGAGTCCAGCTGGCTCGTGCCGGGGCTGCGCGCGCAGCTTGTGGGCGCGTGCACCTGCTCCTGACCTAGCTATTGCTGGGTTGTTGTAGGTCAGTAGTTCTCAATAGAGCCCCCGATGGCGCAGTGGGTTAAACCCTGTGCCGGCAGGACTGAAGACCGACAGGTCGCAGGTTCGAATCCGGGGAGAGGCGGATGAGCTCCCTCTATCAGCTCCAGCTCCTCATGCGGGGACATGAGAGAAGCCTCCCACAAGGATGATTAAAAAAACATCAAAATCATCCGGGCGTCCCCTGGGCAATGTCCTTGCAGATGGCCAATTCTCTCACACCAGAAGCGATTTGCAGTTTCTCAATCCGGGGAGAGGTGGATGAGCTCCCTCTATCAGCTCCAGCTCCTCATAGGGGGACATGAGAGAAGCCTCCCACAAGATGATTAAAAAAAAACCAAAATCATCCGGGCGTCCCCTGGGCAACGTCCTTGTAGACGGCCAATTATCTCACACCAGAAGCGACTTGCAGTTTCTCCTGACACGACAAAAAAAAAGTAGTTCTTAACCTGTGGGTCCACAGGTGTTTTGGCCTACAACTCCCAGAATTCCAGGCCGATTTACCAGCTATTGAGATTTCTGGGAGTTGAAGGCCAAAACATCTGGTGACCCACAGGTTGAGAACCACTGTTGTAGGTTTTTTCGGGCTATATGGCCATGTTCTAGAGCAGGGGTCCACAAACCTTTTCAACAGAGGGCCAGGTCACAGTCCCTTAACTGTTGGAGGGCCGGATTATAATTTGAAAAAAACATGAATGAATTCCTATGCACACTGCACATATCTTATTTGTGGTGCAAAAATCACTTTAAAACAATACAATAATTAAAATGAAGAACAATTTAACAAATATAAACTTATTAGTATCTCAATGGGAAGTGTGGGCCTGCTTTTGGCTGATGAGATAGGATTGTTGTTGTTGTTGTGTGCTTTCAAGTCATTTCAGACTTAGGTTGACCCTGAGCAAGGGCCGGGTAAATGACCTTGGAGGGCCGCATCCGGCCCCCGGGCCTTAGTTTGAGGACCCCTGTTCTAGAGCAGGGGGTCCACAAACTTTTTAAACAGATGGCCAGGTCACAGTCCCTCAAACTGTTGGAGGGCCGGATTTATTTATTTATTGTGTCATCAGCAACCATACCATTGTATTACATTTCTAACAGAGCAAAACAAACAAACAGATAAAAAACAGAGATTTTGCAAGCTTGGTAGTTGATTAAATGTCCTTTGACCAGTAGGTGGCCACTTGGAGTGCCTCTGGTGTTACTATAAGAAAGTCCTCCATTGTGCATGTAGCAGGGCTCAGGTTGCATTGCAGCAGGTGGTCAGTGGTTTGCTCTTCTCCACACTCGCATGTCGTGGATTCCACTTTGTAGCCCCATTTCTTAAGATTGGCTCTGCATCTCGTGGTGCCAGAGCGCAGTCTGTTCAGCGCCTTCCAAGTCGCCCAGTCTTCTGTGTGCCCAGGGGGGAGTCTCTCATCTGGTATCACCCATGGATTGAGGTGCTGGGTTTGGGTCAGGCCTGTAGCCAGGATTTCGATTCGGGGGGGCTGAGTTTGTTTCGGGGGGGGGGGGCTGAGTCTGAGTGAAAGAGGGTCTACCCTAGCAAACCTTTTGTATCGTTACCCCAAAACCCCCATGCATATGGGATATATTGAGTATGGTAATCAGATCATGATATGAATAAACATAAGTTTAAATAATGCCCCAGTAAGGCCTTTTCGCGAACCACCATGAGAATTTCGGGGGGGGGGGGGCTGAAGCCCGCCAAGCCCCCCCCCCCTCAGCCATTGGTTGTGGTTCTGGGTTTGAGCCTGCCACTTTTGGACTCTCACTTGCTGAGGTGTTCCAGCGAGTGTCTCTGTAGATCTTAGAAAACTATTTCTTGATTTAAGTCATTGACGTGCTGGCTGATACCCAAATAAGGGATGAGCTGGAGATGTCTCTGCCTTGGTCCTTTCACTATTGGCTGCTACTTCCCAGCAGATGTCAGGTGGTGCAATACCGGCTAAGCAGTGTAATTTCTCCAGTGGTGTAGGGCGCAGACACCCCGTGATAATGCGGCATGTCTCATTAAGAGCCACATCCACTGTTTTAGTGTGGTGAAATGTGTTCCACACTGGGCATGCATACTCAGCAGCAGAGTAGCATAGCGCTGCACATATCTTATTTGTAGTGTAATAAACACTTAAAACAATACAATAATTAAAATGAGGAACAATGTTAACAAATATAAACTTATTAGTATTTCAATGGGAAATGTGGGCCCTGCTTTTGGCTGATGAGATAGGATTGTTGTTATGTACTTTCAAGTTGAGTTTAACTTCACAATTCAGCAGCAAATCAGTTGCACAACTTCAGCGCTTTCCAGTAGCTTCTTCCTACACAGTATTTTCAGTCAACTGCTCCCAACATCACAGCACAAGGAGATATATACACTGTACATGACTTCCTTATATACAATTCTATACAATTACACATAGCAATCTCTGATTGGTTCCCAACTCATTAACTTAACTCAGACCCAGGATTACATCATTCACAATCACCTGGACTAGGCCAGAACACATTCCCCAAATTATTCCCTATATACAGTTAATGCATGACTCAGCATTTCCAATAGAAGCCCATTAGCAGTGCATGACTCAGCTATATTACATTACAATACATTGTAAAACCTGACAGTTTCACACTTAGGTTGATCCTCAGCGAGGGCCGGGTAAATGACCTTGGAGGGCTGCATTTGGCCCCCGGGCCTTAGTTTGAGGACCCCTGTTCTAGAGGCATTCTCTCCGGACGTTTCGCCTTCATCTATGGCAAGCATCCTCAGAGGTAGTGAGGTCTTTTGGAACTAGGAAAAAGGGTTTATATATCTGTGGAATGACCAGGGTGGGACAAAGAACTCTTGTCTGTTGGAGCTAGGTGTGAATGTTTCAACTAGCACGGAAGACATACATTTAGATTTCAAGGATTATGCTCCTAAGAATGTGTTTTGAGGACTAGAACATAATAGATCTCGTATCTCTTCCATATAATAATCCACTCCTAAGTTTTTTTCAAAGTTAATTTGGTTCTTCAGTATGATTTCTGGAGAGAACTTAATTCTTTTTATTGCTGTTGTGCCTCCAATACCAGTGGCCCAGGGTTCAAACAGGCACACAATACACTCAAATGCATATTCTAGAGTACACAACTCCATTGCCTCCAGCTTTAGTAAATTTGCATGATGAAGGACAGTACCAAGCATCAGCAGATAGGTCTGTCATCCAGTAGACTATAAACTCATCTGTTTCCTAAAGGAGTCCTAAATTGAATGCCCACACAAGTGCATCTTGTCTGACGGGGATGAGAGACAGGGCCTTCTCGGCAGTGGCCCCTCGCCTATGGAACACACTCCCAAATGAGGTAAGATCTGCTCCCTCCCTCCTGGCTTTTAGAAAGAAATTAAAATTATGGTTTTGGGACAGTAGATGTATGTAGAGTTTTAGAGGACGTGGACTAGAATGACAATACGTCTGGCGAGACTGTTTTTATTATTTATTGTTTTAATGATTGTTTACATACTGCCTAATTATGATTTATGCTTAATTGTGGTTTTCTTATTGTAATTGTTATGGATTGGCATCGGCTCACTGTCCAATGTAAGGCATTGAATTTTGCCAGCTATGTGTAAACCGCTTTGAGTCCCCCTAGGGGTGAGAAAAGCGGTATATAAATACTGTATAATAAATAAATAGGTACTCCCTTATTATTCTGATATCAAGGCCTAAAACAGGATTCCAGAAGACCTCAGACCAAGAATCCATATTGGGAAGGATGAATGCCAGCAGGCCCAATTTTGTTTCAGGGGGAGCTGAGTTTGATTCGGGGGGGGGGGCTGAGTCTGAGTGAAAGAGGGTCTACCCTAGCAAACCTTTTGTATCGTTACCCCAATACCCCCATGCATATGGGATATATTGAGCATGGTGATCAGATCGTGATATGAATAAACATAACAGTTTAAATAATGTACCAGTAAGGCCTTCTCGTGGACCACTATGAGAATTTCGGGGGGGGGGGCAGAAGCCCCCAAGCCCCCCCCCCCCCCCCCGGCTACATACCTGAATGCCAGGTATCATTTCTCTTATCTTCCATACTGGATCCAGGCTTATGCCTATACCTTTCAATATTTCACATATGAAAATTGGGATACATGTGGTCAACCAACATCAGAGTGTGGTCAAGATAGCAAAAGGAAGAACACACAAAATCAGAGAGACTGAAGCAGTTTGCTTCTGCCTGAACCTATATTGCCACCCTCTACAAATAACCCAAAAGCTACATACAGATCCATATGTAATAGATTTGCCATTCCTGACCTAAGCATGTGTATTTACATTATACACATATACAACTAGCCTCATTCTTTGACTCAGTTGCTTGTTCTGTTTCACTATAGTCATGCTTGGCAAACCACTGACTTTTTTTTAATTTTAGAAAGATGCAGCAAATTGTTTTTGACCTTCTTATTTCAGTAAAACTTCCTGTGAACTGTGATTAAGATTGCTACTGACAAAGTTGGTATTCAGACATTCTCAAATAAATATATGAATTCACTTAAAACTATGCATACAATGCCATAACTGTGCTATGAAATCATTTTAATTTGGGAAGTTTTCCTGAATATGATTCATCATAAAAATTACGCAGGCAGGTTGTCAATGTTTTAAGGGGATTTTTGTAGTCTAATCTTGCTTTAGACACATACAAATCTCGGAAAGAGAAATGTAACTGTTTAAAAGGCGCAGTTTGGTGCTTTTTATCGCAACAAGTTTCAAGTAAATGATATGGTTCAGAATGGAACAATTTTCCTGAAAGGACATGAAAGATTTCTGAAGGCCAAGTATATAGGCTGAGAATTGTGGGTTTTGTAAAACTTTGGGAGCAAGGCCATTCATGACATTAACAAGAG